GTTTCCCGATTATAACTTTAGAAGGTTTTTACTATGATCTTGGAATGTAAGAATTCCTATGCCTTCTATGTTACAAAGTAGTGCTCAACTACAACAACGAAAAGTCAAGTACAGAGAATAACGCAGGTCCATACTGACAGTCAGAGTTTGCCACTCGACAACACCCCTGTTGTAACGAACATGCAGATCCCTCGCGGAGCGGATGCGAAGCTGAATTCTGGAGAATATGTTGAGTCCATAGGTGGTTGTGATGGTTATTCGTGCTCCTTCACACAGGTTATCAGAAGAGAAGCGGAAGTATCAATTGACCAAATGGCTCAGGATCCAGCTGCTGTAAGAAGCCGTTTACATGACCGAATACGGACATGTATTTGCAGTAACTAAACCTGGTACCTCAATAATTCAACAAAGACCAAAGTAAAAACAGCAACAAAACCCTATTTTTCACATACAAAACATTCTCTGAAAGACATTTATTAAGGCATAAATAATAATAGAAATATCTTCACACATATGTAGTCTGAGCAGTTTTTCTCGTACTGTCACTGTTTGACCCATCATCAGTGGTATCCCTCCGTGACGACGTAGATCTCGTAGACTTCATAGATCTTGGGCTCGCCGACTTCGTTGACTTTGACGGGCTGGATGTAGTTCCGCCAGTTCGTTGTAAGGAGCCAGGTGATCTGCCGTCTGGCGTTTGGATTTCATCACGGTTCCTGCCATGTTCTCGACTCGGGGATCGGGCTACCCTCATCTCGAAACGACGACTTGATGTATCTCCATCCTTAATTCAAAACCTTTATTTAGAGCACATCAGTTTGGTCTAGAAACTATCCAGAATAATGTTTAACATTTCTTAATGTGCATGTGGGAGAGGTCTTGTTGACCAAAGGTTTCTTAGTTGAGATAAATCAAGATTACAGTATCTTTAGCGCACTGACGACTATACAACCCACTCTTCAATTAATTTTGACTATTTTTTGAAAGCCGGTATTAATCATAGTTGTAATGAAGCCATACTAGAGTATAATTTAGCAAAGTTCAACCTATAACATCAGCCGCATTTTTTCAACGGGCGATCTGCGCTATTGACGTTTACGCA